TTTTATTAGTAGTGGTAGTGGTGATAGTGTTAATTTATTTACTTTATAATGATATTAAAAATGTGGTGATCGCGACTAACACTTTTACTTAATTATTTGCTTATTTACATTTCATTATTATTATATACAATATTTTTTAAAATTAATTTATAGTACACTAATTATAAATTATTATTGTTAGTAGTAATACTTTTACTCAGTTACTTGTTATATATTTATTGCATTTATTAATACATTCATTGTTATTAATATTATGTTGAGATAAATAGCTAATTTAATTACTTCACTATATTTTGCATAATTTATTATTATATGTCACATTTATTTATTTACTTATTCAGTCATTAATTTAAAAATTTTTGAATTAATATAATTATTGTGATTGATAGTGTAAGTTTAATTAAATTACTTGCATATTTACTTATTATTCTTGATATATAGAAAGATTGTCAAGTGTTCACATTTGCAGCCTTGTTTTCTTTATAGAGGAAACAATGTTATCTCATATTGTAATAATTTAAATCCAGATCTTTCAACACATCTGGATGTGTGAGATTTTAAATATGTTAGATATAAACCAGTCGGAGCTTCCCACAGTTGGAGGAGATATTTTATCCTGGTAAAAAAGCCACAGCGGTTCTCTAGGGACAGATGCCAGATGTGGACAGCTGTCCTTTCCAGCTTAAAATGTCACAGTAAAACTGTCATCCAGGGCTTGGGATTAAAGCAGCCAGGAGCTGAATAAGCTCCAGCATAAACTCACCCCTGGAATCTGACAAACTATAAAATGTCTTTTTTTTTTTTTTTGCAAAAGCTGAGCTACGAGTGCTGACTAAAGAATTTTAAAACATGAATTACTTTCCTTCCAGCGGGACATAAATATTTAGTATTTCTTGTGAAAAAGGGCTGCTGGATCAGAGAAAGGGCGAGGAAGTTGTTTCTGGTCTGTTAGCAACCTCTGCTGGTTCAAACGTGATTATCAGTTTGAACTCACTCTGATTTTACTATATTAATATTTAATTTCTGGTCATGTAAAGTGCCAAGAAAACAGAAAAAAACTAAGGAAACAGTGGGTTAAATATCATACCTGTATGATATTCTGCAACCCTAAAACAGAAATAAACAATAACAATGCATAAAAAGTAGTTTTTGAAACAAATGAACATAAAGTTAAATAAATAATTTATATTCCAATCTATCAAAAAATATCATCTGAAACCTATAGTTTGTCTTATGTACGTTTGTGTTTTAGAACTTCTTTAACTATAATAATTTAATTATAACTAAAACATTTTGTGCATTTATAGTCATTTGTAAACATAAGTAGTCAAAAAAATGGACTAATCAATTTTACAATGTCCAACTCTGTCTTTCAATCTACATTT